TTCTCCAGTGACATCTGCAAATACAAGGACTGGATGGAATATTTAAAAAAGTGTCTCCATACGTCTCCAACTCTCTGGCTCACTAGGAAATGAGGTCCTATGTCCAAAATTCTGAACTGTCCCTTTAAGTTATTCTCTCTGTAATGATAATGAGTAAAAATTCATGGGTGTCATAGATGCAAGAAAAGACTGAAGTGTGAAGTTGTTAATTCATCCAGTGATTATGTAAGATTTGTCTTTTGTTACCCAGTTGTGACATAACTTCTCATTTTTTTTCTCAGATCAAATTGCTTCAAAAGTAGTTCAACAGTCTTATGAAATCTTGCACAGTTAACCTGACTGACCCATATAATTTAAAAGACCTCCAAAGTGAGATGAGGTAAAGTCAACATTTAACCTCTGGGCCTCTCACAGTCTTTGTTTTTATCTGCTCAGACTTAGATTACCTCTGCACACTGTGAACTCACCATAGATGTGTCTACTACAGATGCGCCGCTCCAGTCCTGACCACAAACAGGAACTACCAGCACATCAGCGACTCCCTGTGAGAGAATAAATTTTAAAGGAGACAAATATGTGAACCCTCTCAGATCTCCTGTACATCTGGGCTGTTTGCTTGTCCCCAGAGTCAGACCCTCATCTGGTCAGGCTGGTTTCATGTCGCTGAACAGGATACCTGACCAAATCTAATTTAAAGTGTGTGTGATATATTATGGGGATTGGGTGTCTAAAGCAAAAGATTTATGTTAGTATATAATGGCACAATTGAGATGAATTGCTTTGTCTGAAATACGGCATTAAACATATATCAGATATTTAATATAGGGGGATTACTGCCTCTCCACAGATCTGATCTGCTCCATGGAGACAGATGTAATGCCATACTGTGGAACGTACATGTGGAACTGTGGAACATGGCATTGCTCTAGTTCGGAATTAAATCATTCTGCTTCGATTTAACATGGAAATAATAATTCCGAATTGAGGTTTACATGGAAAACACATTAAATCGCCTTTAATTAATTCCGCTTAACAAGTCTGGGGGCAGGGAAGGGTTCTGATTGGACAGGGACACAAAAGAATTTACGTCTATAGGAAGAAATACACACTTAAGCTGCTACTGGCTTTTTTGTTATCGTGGTTTGTCGTTACGTGTGGGGATACGGCCATACAAACTGAGGAACAGCGGTCCAAACCCAGACGCCTGAACCCCCATTCAGGAGTCTGGGTTTGGACCGCTGTTCCCCAGTTTGGAGCAGCTCCGGTTCAGGTCAGTCCCAGATGAGCTGGAGCGGGGAGTGGTGTTAGGTTCTTAGGCCTGAGAAGCGCTTTCCCCGGGGAAGAACCAAATGAGCGATAAGGACGGACTGCTCAGAACAAGATATAACAAACTAAGCGGGATTCGCACTTCTGTTTGGATATTTTGCATCACCTCGGTTCAAGCCACAGTCCTCGAGCACAGAGGACAGGAGTAGCCTTCCTGGACCTGTAGTCCACATCACATTCTCACTTTTGCCGCACGGATCCCATGCACAGAGGACAGCACAGAACCGCTTGGACCTAGTCCATTTTGCACTGGTCTTGCTCGCCGCCATCTGGAACCAGTACATAGAGGACGAGGAACATCGGGCTGACCCTGACACAAACATGATTCAAACTTTTTTTACCATCTAGCGTGTCATCGTGTCAGAAGGGCAACCCAACACGCATGCACTGAATGACCGGAATTATTTTTTTAGTTTAATTCTGAATAATGATTAGGAATTAAGTATTTACACGGTCTTTTTAAAGCAGAATGATTTTTATTCAAAATTAAGGCCTGTTTACATTTACATTTACATTTTTTCCTCTGAGGAGTTTTCAGGTCTGACCTTAATACATCTGTAATTCTACTTCATCACTGTGACTTTCCAAAACATACCATGATTGTAATATAGACAAATGTTTTTTAAATTTGATTAGTATTGAGTTAACATGAGGCTAAAGGGTTCACTGTGGGCACACTGAGGTGAAGAAAAGTCATCCTCCATTTGGCTCTACAAACATAAGTTGAGTGTTTGCCCATTGCACCCAGAGAAACTGCAGTTAATTCAGAGATGGGTGACAGCCTGTGCGGGGCAGGCAGGAAGGCAACGGGACAGGGGGCAGGAGGGAGGAGAGAGGGGGGCAGGAGGGAGGAGAAAGGGGGGCAAAGTAGAAACACATGTGACCCAGCGTCTTCACTCACTGTTTGTTGTTATGTGAGAAAACAGAGCAACTGAACAGTGGATTTACACAGACAAGAGAATGGACAATTCAGTTCTGCACTTTCCTTCAGTCATTCAGAAACTAGTGAAACAAAAATAACAATAAGGCCTAAATTTAAAAATGAGTCACGGCCATCACATTTTAAAATTTTGCTCACTTGGGTCAGAGCTACATAAATGTAACTACAAAACTCCATATTTCTATAGACTAATGCTGCAGGAGGTACAGTCACGGATTGCAGGCTCCTCGCTGTGAATGGCTTCTATATTGTCATGGACCAGTGCCTCCATAAGAGCCCTGTAATTGCACTGCGGCGCTCTGATGACGACAGGTACCTCCTGTACACACAGAGCACGACTGCGGGGCCACACCAAAAGGAAAAAGAGATTACAATATTTAATCATCACTCAAAACTAAAGAGAAATGAGAACATTAACCAGGCCAGGTACATTTATATACAGTTATGTTGGTCACTGTTCACTGTTAACATTCATGTTATTGTGTAGTTTTGTTTCATCCACATGTTTTTGTAACAGTGTGTACTGAAGCGCTACTGGATTTTCTCATGGTAATCCACTTTCTCCAAGCATACTGTCAACCTAAAAAGGTGAAGCAGTTAGTCTGTAAGGTGCATGCTGATAATTGCTGTACAAAACATCCATTATTCTCAGCCAGACAATTCAAGACAAGTTGTGAAAGTTTTTCTCTCAAGTTTGCACTGAAATGCTCTTAACTTTATTCTCACTAGAATTCAAAAGACTTGATCAAACGCCTGTCACGTTTTGGCCTTTAGTGGAATATTTGTATATAGTTTGTTTTATAGAACAATGTGTACATTTCACCATTTTTCTTTTTTTAGACTTTTTTTCTTTTCTGACTTCTTGGCTTCAGCCGTCATTTGAGCTGAGGTTTTACACGGATTAAGGCAGAAGTCTTTTATAAAGAGTGTGAGGGCAGCTGTAAACCGCAGCCTGTGGACACAATTTTACACTATAGAGCAGCACTTTTACAGGCCTGTAGCCCTCCCCTCACTCTGCTCCTGTTATAGACGAGTGTCTGCTGTTAAACATGGATCCACTGTGCAGTCACTGTGGTAGACCGTCCACATTATACTTTATGATGTGTTCACTAATATCTGACAGAGGGAGCAGAAAAGACCTATTGTGCTCACAGCACATTTGGGTTGAATTAAACATCTGATCATTAATGCACAGGACCACAGAGCTGCTGTGCTCTCTGCTGGTGGCTACAGCAGCACAGATACTTATCCTTCATTGCACTTCCTCTGCCATTATCACTCAGCCTATGGCTGGGTTTAAACAGTAAAGCTCCCTCAGGTAACAATTACATTTAATGAATCAACTTAAATATAAATGAGAGGCACTGTATACACAGTTAGTGTATATCGATGGAAACACAGGCCAATATACAATCCTTTGATAATGTGCAAGGAAGTGGTCACAGAGAAATCCCCTCTACAGGATTATTTACTTTACTGTTTTAAATGCATAATGTCATGACCGTACTTGTACTGATTGGACCGCATTTTAAACCACAGTTGTTTTGATACAGGCTTTACTAATCAGCTGCTGTCATAATATTGCTTTGTTTTACATAGTCTTTTCTTTTTATTATATTTTCTTGATTCAAAGTACAGTGAGTCTGGGGTTGAAAATATTTTTTTTAATCTTCCAACATGAAGTGCACATTCAACAGTCAATGAGGATATGACAAAAACAATAACTCTCCAAAATGATGGACATCACCAAACAGCAGGAACAGATCAGAAGACCTAGAAATACACTTACACAGGAATTATATTTAGTTCATCTTTTCTCTCAGTATAAAAATATATTCTTTTTCAATTATGAATAAAATACACTTTAACATCTTCAAGCATTTACAAATCACAAAAACTCAACATTAAAATGAAATAAAGGAACGTGCTATGCTGGAAATTGCAGTTGGCTACAATACATTATAAACACAGAAGCATATGTACAAAAGCATAGACCTACAAATGAATTTATAATGAAATTAAAGTCAGATGCCCTGCAGTGAAATAGCTACATGATTTACTCACGACACCATCTACAAAGAGTCATTTGTGCATACATTCAGCTGTGCTTTACATTCTGGCATTAGTGGGGAAATTACATTGTAAATGCCTTAAAAAGCATCTCATAGATTTATAGGGTCTGGATACTTAAATATACAATGGATTTGTGTTATTATTATTATTATTTTATTAATTAGTTCAGAGTTACTATAGTATCAGCATGCCATGAAATCATTCTGACTGTCAATACTTTAGCTGAAAACCCTTATCAGTATTCGTGTAGCATATAAACATGTGGACAGTGAAAGGGCAGTGTGAGCTTCACGCCACACCCACTAGATTATCCAATAAGACCAGTTCTATTTACTGTATTATAAGACCTGTTCTATTTATTGTTCTGTTTATTATTTATAAGACCAGTTGTATTTTCAGTTTTCCAAAAATACTCCAATAATAGTTTTTTCAAAGTGCTATATAATATCAACAAAGCTTATTGTTTCTACTGCACATGGGTTTATACAGTAGCATACGTCCTTATCTCAGTTGCATTCATTGTCTGACATCACAGAAAATCAGTCATAACTTGATTCTGTCTCCCCAATCCCTGCTAAAGGTACAGTGTGTTTGTGAGGTTTGTACGTTTCTCTGAATAACTTAATTAGTACATTTGCCAAGTGTCACAGTCCTTCAGAAGTCACACAGTTGTTGTGCGTGAGGTGTAGGTCCCATTGCGGAAAACCATCTCAGACGCCAGGTAGTCCTTTGGGAAATCCAGCGGACTGCAGGTCGCTGGCTTTTTTACCGCCACAGCGCAGTAGTCCACCTGCTCCGCATCCAGGCCGTTCTCCAGCCAGCGGAAACAGACGATGCGCTGGAACGACCTCCGGAAATTGTCTGACACAAAACCGTAAAGGATGGGGTTAGCTCCACTGTTAGCGTAGCTGAGGATAACAAAAAGCTGCGTTATCATTGGGTCTGGTGGCCGGTGAAACACGCTAATCAGTTGGACGATGTAAAACGGCATCCAGCAGAGGACGAAAACTGCTACGACAAGAAGAACCATCCTCGTGATCTTCTTCTCAGATCTTCGACGTTGTAGCCAGCCCGCTTTTAGCCCGACGGCTCGCATCCTGGCTACCATTAAGCAATAGCAAAGGCAGATCGCTCCAACCGGAAGCAAAAATCCGAGCAAGAAGGTGTACACGACGAAGGCCTCTGACCACGCTGCTTCAGGCCACAAAAAGTTACAATCGACGCCGCCATCTTGAGCAGGAACGGTGTCGGCGAAGATAATAATTGGCAGTATCACGATTAGCGACAGGCCCCAGACGCACACGTTCACGACTTTGGCTACGGTCGGCCTACGGTAGCGTGCAGCCTTTATGGGGTGAACGACTGCGATGTAGCGGTCCACACTTAACACGGTAAGGCAAAAAATGGATGTAAACATATTGATTCCGTCGACGCTTAGAACTAGCCTGCACATCAGCGAGCCAAACGGCCAGTGGCGTACGGCAGCCGACGTAGCGAGAAACGGCACACTTAGCATAAAAAGCTCATCGGCTATGGCTAAGTTAAGGATGTAAATATTGGTAGCAGTCTTCATTTTGGCGTATTTGAGGATTACGTAGATGACCATGGCGTTGCCGGTGAGTCCTATGCAGCAAACTAACGCATAGATAGACGGGATGATGATTTTGCTCGCGTCAGGTTCTTGGTAGTAGTCGTCGTAGTCTAAACTCGTGTTGTAGGGGAGTCCAGTTGGGTACGCGCCGTAGTCAAAGCTAACGTTAAAATCCATTGTGTTTTATGGTTCAGAAAAAGTTTGCGTAACTGTGAATTTTAACGTGGAAAGGTTTGTAATTTATAACGCTGCTTGTATTTATGTAGCAGCTAATCTGTTTGTGAAGTTAGAAAAGACATCGAAGTATTGGCGGGCTAATATTTAAGGAGATAAAAAGGAGCGATGTCATTATCTCTGCAACTCAATAGTCCTTTTCTAACAAAGACAAAAGTAGGATTTAATGGTTTCTTGGACTGGAGAGAATTCTCATTGTCAGTGGGTGTTCTCTCCCAGGAGACTCACGATCACACAAATTCACTTTACATCCCACTTTCCTCACAGAGATGGCGGAAAGCAATCTTGTGCCATTTTGGAAGTAAACGTGTTCTGTTGCCGTTAGAGAAAAGGTTCAAAGTGTGGCACGTCTTGATTAAGCAAAGGTCTCGCTCCCTCGGGGGAAATCATATCGGCGCTTCTTTTGTTTGGGCAGGTTTGACGGTTCCTGGAGCGAAGACAAATAAGGTTTTCTTCAATAGGTGCTCCTCAGGATACAGACGCCCCGGATCTGTGCAAGAAACAAAATGAGAACATTAAGCTTGGTAACACTGTTGGCTAGAGGGATGGAGACCAACCAACACTGATGACATTTGCATAATTATTATTATTACCAAAATAAATTGAAAAAAGATTGATAATGCTTCTTACATTAAACGTGCATTGTGTAACTTTTCTGTTGGAAGGCCAGTCAAATGCTTTTCTCCATCGAGATTTCTATGTCTGGAATGTTTCACAGTGGTATTAAACCTTTCTATTTTCGTGTAGACCAAGCCACACCAAGTTACAGGTCAGATCTGTGGAGAGGCAACCTGCCCACAGTCAGAACACCTGTTTTTCTAGCTATTTTTGAGCTATAAAATCACCTGTAATTGAATAAATGTAAGCCTTTTTAATGTTTAACAGTCCAGGCAGAGCAATGGCATATCCATAGAACAAGAAGGTGACGAACCCCCAAACAAAAAGTTACACAGTGTACTTTTAATGTTGATAATGCTTCTTAAATTAATACAGTTACTGTGTTGGGAAGTAAATGAATACATGCACATGAAGAGTTAAAATCGCTTGAATTAAGAATATTTCATTATGGCTTGAGTAAATTTCACTTGACAAGTAAAATGATCTGCCAATGGAACGAGACTTTTTGTACTTAAAATATGAAAATACATCTGGCTACACTTAAAATAAGAAAAACAACAACTCTGTGCACAAATAAGAAACAAAATCCAATGTTGCTTCAATTAAGAAAAACACAGTTATTCAACTGGCAGATCATTTTACTTGTCAAGTTGAATCTACTCAAATAAAGTCAAATGTTCTAAAAATGTCCTTTTAAGTTACTTAGATATTGTTTTGCAGTGTGTACAGAGAATACACATTCTGAATACTAGTTCTGAGTAACTGTATTCAGGTACAGTTACTGTTTAATTTGGTGGTATTCAGAATACAGTTACTTTTCTAAAATCAAGGCCTTACATGATGACACAATTTAGGTTTCAAACTGCACATATTAGTGAAAAAAATAATAAACAGAACTCTTGTGGAGAGTGCATGTGTGATTTTTCCATCTCCAATTGTGACAAAATGCTTTAAAACTGTTGACTCTATGTTGCGTCTTTACTGTGGCTGGGTATCATTGCCAGTATGATACATATCTCGATACAGTGCACTTTCGATTTGATACAATATATTTTAAATCAATTCAATACTGTTCAATAAAAATAATGGCTAAATCACGGCTGTGATATTGAAAATCTTTGTAAAACCACTACTTGTGCAAAGTTTAATGTGAAACACAAACATTTCAATCATCAAAACAGTGAAAATGTCAAATGTGTCTCATAAACGCGTTTCCATGCTCTGAACAAGCAACAAATCTCTAGCGCTGTAACAAAATAATTTTGTAAAATATACCAAAAAATATTCTTGGCGATATATCGATACAGTAGCTCACGATATTGATACAGTATACATACAGTACATACAGTATACATACACACTGTATACAGTCTTTACACTAACATTTTTAAGCCACTGTAAAAATGTAAAAATATTCCAAGTATTCAGAATACAGTACTCTGATTGGACCATGAATCAGAATACATTTGTAGTTTCAAAGTATTCTTCCAATCACTGTACAATTATGAAAATCCAGAATTGCTTTATATTTATTTGACTGTTGAGATGATAATATTTACTAATTTGGTCACACAGAGAAACAGCCTTTGTACACTTTCAGCCTACACGTCATGACAACTGTCCGGAAGTTTTGGCTGTAATACTTGGCTTTGGAAAAAGTTGTGAAAAAACAACACACACTTACAGGCTCTGTCCAAAAGTACACCAACACATTATCAGTTTTCCAGTTTGGTACTTCCTGTTCATCGGAGAGTCTCACTGCACCTGTCCTTATATTTTTAACAAGCCTAATGGGATCACTACGATCAAACCTGACCTAACTCAGACCTCTGATATGGAGCTGGAACACACATTTACAGAACTCTAAAGCTGCGATGCTGGCTTTCCTAAATCACCAAAAAGGGGAACTTCAAGAACATTCTTAACACTCACCACCAGGCTATACGCAGCGATTTTAATCAACGGTGAATCCATTAGCTGTCACTTCCAACTAAAAGCAGCTATTTTATATTTTGTCATGGTGGAAATGAGTGCGTCCTAATCCATATTCAGAACAGTTTTCCTCGTCCATTAAGATTACATGAGAAAAACAGGAAGTCTCATCTTAATTAGTCTTCCAGTCCTTGATGGGCCATTGGTTCCACTCTGGCGCTCCCTCGCCTTCTGTCACCTTCATCTGTTTGAAGTTACATTCAGTCTCGTTGCGGGCAGAACATATTCTAAGTGCACTTATATGTATGTATTGTATAACTTATGTTGACATTATAGAAGCAGCTCTTTGGCCCAGTGGTTTAGGCAAATGTTGGGGCCAAAAATAGTGAATAAAGATGTAAAAAAAAAAGAAAAAGCAGATGAAAGTGTGAGAATGTGGGTCCATTAGTGCTGAAAGGAGGGTCTCACTGTGTCTGAAATGTGCTTTGATCATGGTGCTATTCATTGTGTCTATAAGGCTTCATTTCCAGGTGTGTTATCGGGATTGATGATAGTGTTTTCTGGATGCTCAGTGATCATCAAGGTATTGGGCAATCAGTGTCGGAAAAACCTCTTTTTGAAGCTGAGGCGCAAATCTATTTGTAAAACATAGCTACCCATCCTTACATCTCTGAAACTATCAGTCTAAATACAACATGGAAAGTACTGTCATCATCTTTTGTGCTTCACGCTTCTGTCTCTTTGCACATAAACACTTTTGCAGCCTCCTCAGTAGGGATGGACCGATATGATAATAGTATCGGCGGCGAACATTTTGGTGGCTCGGATATTGGCTTCCAAGATATTTATTCTGTCAAAATCCCATTCTGGTCTTTAAATTGGTGTGATAAGACCATATACCGTATTTTCCGGGCTATTAGATGCGCTCTTAAGCCTCTAACCCCATCAAAAAACGACTGCGCACCCCGCAATCCAATCATGGAGCAGACAGTGACCGTGCAGAGAAAAACACCCGCAGACACACTCATCACTCCATGCGGACGAGGAACGGAATGAAGGAACGAACTGAAAAAGCAAGTGCAATGTGCCACTCTGAGCCACAACTGAACAACTGAGTCACTGCGAACACGCAATCCAGCGGTCCCAGACAGCACCCTCCCTACACACCACAACTGAACAGAAGCCCAGAGTCACCGTGAATGCGCCAAACCAAGTCTGACTGACCCATCAAACTGTCGTGTTTTGTTTAAAGTCCAGTGCGGTTTATTTGTGAAAAAAGTTCGAAAATAGACCATTTAATGACCAGAGCACCTAATAGCCCATAAAATCTGGTATTTACTGGCCAATTTCGGCTCAGAATGTCTGATATTAAACTTGTATTTTTACAAAGCTATTCTCTACAGAGCAAAAACTGCAGGGTTAAAATTTCAGAGTAAAATATTTCAGAGTTGTTTTTAACACAAAAATGGGGATTAAATGGGGGTTTGAATTGGGGTTATTTGCCAGAGTTCATATGGTTGAAGTTAATTCAACATCCCCTAGTGACATTCAACTTTTCTTAGTGTTAATTTGGCACATCCCACCCACCACTTCAAACTCCTGCGAGAGAAGAATAGTTTGAACCAGTTTTGTTCATAATTTCATTTTAAATTAACTAAAATAAAGAGTAAAAATAAAGCGCTTCTGTGTGTTGTTTAGGTAAATGAGGATAATCGTACAAAATGTTATCTGTTTACTCTCAAAACATTAATATAACTCTTGATTTGGGGGTTAAACAGGAAATTTGGTCCAGTGTTATTTAATTAACATTTCCAAAAATATTAAATTAACTCTGAAACAGATTGGACTCATATAAACCCCGAGAAAATGTTAAAATTGATTCTGTGAGAGTCAATTTTAACACTTTTTTCTGTGCGGTTACAAAACATATTTGGATCATTTTTATCTCATTCTGTTTGTGTTAAAAGAAAATCAAGTATATTTTCTGCCCTGCCCTGTTATCAGTTGATATTGGGTACTGGCAGCCAATGTATCGACATCGAAATCAGAAAAACGTGGACTGGTGTATCCCTGCTCCTCAGCCTCTCACTCCATTCATCAATTATCCAGGTTTGGAGCTGGTAGTCTGGTCTTGTGTCTGGTGTTTAGCCTCCCTATCAAACTTTGATCTCTCACAGGCAAATCATATATTTATTTTAATCATGTTCTGTCCTCCTGGTTTGTTCAGATTCGTTGATACACAAAAACAGTATAAGAACATGCGTACTGGCTATATTGGTTTATGATGTTTTTGCGAGCTTCTATTCTGTTGTTGTCTCTTTTGTACAGCGTGTCAAAGGAAACAGAATACCATAAATCTAAATGACACTTGGTCTAAAGCCTGATAGCTATCA